AAGATGCATTATATAAAGGTACAATTCCCAATGAGAAATGTAATTGTGTTGTATACCTACAATGTACCAATAAAAGAATTTAATTCAAAAAAAAACAAACAAACAAATGGGAATTCAGTTCATGTAAACTACAGAGTTTCTATTTTTCAAACTATCTCAATAATTGGCTTTATTGTCAATTCTAGAATCTAGGGCAGCCCTTCACTCCACAAAATAGAATTAGTGTTCCCTATGGCAATGTTTCGTTGGATGAGGAAAGGCAGAAAGAGGAGGTGGCTATGTCTTAGAGTTTTCTTTTGTCAAGGCACAGGGATGTATTTTAATTCCTATCACTGATTAACTGAGAATCACAAAGAGAAAAGTTTGCTTCTTTGTTTTTCAAATGGAAATAATGGAGATGGAAAGAAAAGATGATCTGTGAGAACTCAGGTCAGGGCATGACTCTTATTCAAGCAGAGATATTTTAGTTTAGTGCAAGGATAGAGTCACGGGTCTAGTTTTAGTCTTGGGCATGTCGGCAGCCAGTTTCCCAGCACCATTTATTAAAGAGGCTGGCATTCTTCCAGTGAAGGTGTTTGGCTCCTTTGTCAAAGATAAGGTGGCTGATTGTGTTTGGAGTTGTTTCTGTATCTTCTAATCTGTTTCACTGATCCTTGGATCTGTTTTATTTTATTTTATTTTTTTCCACTACCACTCTGTTTTTATCACAGTACCTCTGTAGTATAATTTCAAGTCAGGGATTGTGATGCCCCCTGCCTTACCTTTGTTGCTCAGAATTGTTTTTGCTGTCCTGGGCCTATTCTGGTTCCAAATGAATTTCAGGAATGTTTTCTCTAGTTCTGTGATATGCTACTGGTATTTTGATTGAGATTGATTTAAATCTGCATAACAATTTTGGGAATATGGCCATTTTTACTATGCTGTCTTTCCATTTTCTGATATCCTCTTTGATCTCCTTTTTCAGAGTACTGTAGTTTTCCATGTAAAGATCTTTTACTTCCTTTGTTAGATTGATTCCTAAGTATTTCATTTTTTGATGCTATTGCGAAAGGCATGGTTTCCCTAATTGCTTTCTTGGTAAGACTGCTATTTGTGTACAGAATGCTATTGATTCCTGAGTGTTGACTTTGTATCCTTCTAAATGACTGAATTTGGTTATTAAATCTACAAGTCTTGTGGTGGAGTTTTTGGGGTCTTCTAAGTAGAGTATCATCCCATCTGCAAATAATGATAATTTAACTTCCTCCTTTCCTATTTTTAGTCCCCTTATTTCTTTCTCTTGTCTAATTGCTCTGGCTAATGTTTCCAGAAGTATATTGAATAGGAGTGCTGACAGTGAACATCCTTATCCTGTTACAGAATTTAGAATTTTTCACCATTTAGTGTGATGTTTGGTGTTGGTTTGTCATAGATGGCTTTTTTCAGATTGAGATATAGACCATCTATTTCCATTTTCTGTAGATTTTATTTTAGTCATGAATGGGTACTGGACTTTGTCAAATGCTTTTTTTTGCATCTATTGAGATGATCGTGTGATTTTTTTTCTTTGGGTCTGTTGATATGGTGTATTGTATTTGTTTGATTTGCATGTGTTGAACCATCTCATGATACACTAAAATCAAAATGGATTAGGGGACTGGGGATTTAGCTCAGTGGTGCCACCACCTGCCTTGCAAGAGCAATGTCCTCAGTTTGATCCCCATACCAAAAAAAAAAAAAAAATCTAAAATCTAAGTATTAAAACAGAAACACTAAATTTGCTGAAAGAGAGAATAGGTAGAACTCTTGAAGACATTGGTATAGATAAAGACTTCATGAACAAAATCCCAATCACACAGGAAATATTAATGAGGAATAAAAAACTGAGATCTCATCTTATTTAAAAGTTTTTATACAGCAAACAAGTCACCAAAAGAGCAAAGAAACAACCTACAGTTTGGGAAAAAAATTTTGCCAGCTGTTCTTCAGATGAAAGACTGATATCTAGAATATATCAAGAACTGAAAAAATTACCTCCAAAATTTAAAGACCCAATACAAAATGGGCATCTGAGATGAACACACACTTCTCAGATGAAGAAGTACAAGTGTTAAATAAATACATGAAAAAATGTTCTTGTCATTTGAGAGAGCCAAACTAAAACAATGCTGAAATTCCATCTTACTTCAGAAAGAGTGGTTATTATCAAGAAATCAACCAATATCAAATGCTGGAGGGGCTGTGGTGAAAAAGGAATCTTTCTCTACTTTTACTGGGAGTGTAGACTGGTGCAAAAACTGTGGAAATCAGTTTGGAGATTCCTAAAAACACTAAAACTAGAGGTTCCATTTGACCCAACTATTCCCCTTCTTGTTATCTTCCCAAAAGTATTAAAACCATTATACCACAGAGATACATGCACACCCATGTTCATAGCAGCACAGTTTGCAATAGCTAAATCTTGGAAACAACCCAAATGCTCATTACCCGGTGAATGGATAAAGGAGATGTGGTATTTTTTTATATAATGGAGTACTAATCAGACACAAAGAAAGATAAACTTGAGACATTTATAGCTAAATGGATACACCTAGAGACGACACTGTTTAATGAAATAAGTCAGACACACATGTATAAATATTGCATTGTTTCTCTGGGGTGAGAAACAGCAAGTTAAAAAGGGAGCAAAATTTATAATAGATAATGTGAAGTAGGAAAAAAATGTTCAAATGGGAAGGACACTAGAGAAGGGGGAGGGGGGAAAGAAGAAAAGGGAAAAAAGAGAAAAGAACGATAAAATAGAAACAAAGCTTTTGTAAATGAGGGGAAGAAGGGTTGAAAGAAGGGGAGGGAAATGGGCAAAAAATAAGAATCAAGATATATCATAGAGGGTACATAATCCATAGGATAAATGAGGTCAATATGTATATCTAAATTCTACCAATAAACTTAATTTTAAAAAGAAAGATGGAATTAGGATGTGTTATGTACATGTACCAACTCCACACTAGGAATGTAAAGATTCTGTACCGCAAACATAGACTAATAATATTGTCGCCTCCTTGAAAAATAAAGCAGATTCTGCAAACTCCAGCGTCCCTGAGAGAGCGAGGGGAGGTCACCAGAGTGAGGCCTGGGGGCCTGCAGGGCCCCACTGAAGGAGTTGGTGCAGCCAGGCCCAGGGTCCCAGCAGCTGCCCGAGAACTGTTACATCTACTGCATGAAGCTGGCCAGTGTGAGTACAACTTGGGGATCTACAAAGACAAAAGCACAGGTAGAAAGTGTGACAATTATAATTAACTTCCTAGCCTTTCGGGGTTTTGGCTAAGTCCCTCCCTAATTTGAATTTTTAATCCTGTATTTATTTCATCAGTGGTGGTTTCTCACTCAGTTTTATTCCTACCAGATAGAGCTAACTCCCTGTAAGTTCACTAAAAGTCCATAACTTGTATAATTTTCCTTTCACGGTGGCAATAGTGGCTTCCAGGACTTCTCTCCTAACCCTACATACAGTCACTTGGCAGCACAAATAATCTGAGCTGCAGAAGATGTAATTTTGAAACTGAAAAATGGATTTGTTTGGGTCTGTAAGTCTCAAGAAATCTCAAGATAGGATTATTTTTAATGAACAGGAGTGTTTTTCTTTTATTTCTGGTGCTTTATGAGTCTAAATAAACAAGAAAAGGAAAACTAATAGGTGAGTACCTTCTTAAACTGACTAGAAATGTCAAGACCTGTTTGAGGATGAATGACAGAGTCCAGTGTCTCAAGCTACTAAATTTTGCACCATTTTGCATTCGACGATATTTTAGTATCTGATTTTACTTGAATTTTACAAACAAACCTTTTTAAAACTCCATCTGAGCAGTGAAGCCTGGATGATAAACACAAACCCTGTCTGCATCAAGGTCTTGGCCAATAGCAAGGCTCCTAAGGAAACCATTTTCCAGTCATTTCTCAAGCAGATCTCACTGTTGTGATATTCAAATCCATTCATCTCCAGAGCAAAATATAATTTTCTAATTTCAATATTTGTTTCACACTAACAACTGTAAATGGTCAATACACTTTATTATGCAACATTATTTTGCTAAAATGATAACTGAAATAATCCTGGGGCTCTCTGTATGTCATGTACTGAACACTGAATGGACCTCAGTGATCTCTCATAATAGTTTTTATTGTTGTTTTGTTTTGTTTTTCAGCAGAATCACTGTATTTCCCACTTCAAAGGTGACAAAAGCAAGCTCAGGATAAATAGTTAACCCCGAGCCCACAAAACTGGGACATTCGGGAGCCTAGAAACTCCTACTTATTGCTTCCAAACTTTTGCCCCTTTATGTTATGTTGACTCTTGGAATAGTCATTATTTGTTAGTTTTATTAGAGATCTACAATTATTTTGTTTTCTCATACAAAATATTTATTTTTTAAACTGAAACTTCTGAATTTTTCTTGGCTACTTTAAGAAATTACTCATTGAACACTAGACTTATATTTGTTCCTATCCTTTCTTTTGTTTACTAAAAATCTATGAGGAAAATAAATTGATTAATACAACTGTCAAAGAGAATTTCTGAAAGAAAATGTTTCATACTGTTTTCTCTAGCTTTGAGTGCCAATAGGATTAATTTAGTGTCCAAAGTGATCATTCTTTTAAAAATGAGTTTGATTGATTTTTAATCTGTATTTTCCTATTTATCTGAGATTCCTGGAGATAGGTCACAATTTCAAGCAACTTGACCTTCTGGGAATATAAGGCTTCTTGTGCCAAGAACTGTAGAAAAACCTTTCCTTCAATATTTGACATTTTATGCTCCTCTAAATGTATTCTAATGCATGGTCACGCTGCAAAATGACTGTCATTAGTGCTGGCACAGGCCAGGGCAAGGGAAGACCATGACTAATGCTGAGCTATCCGTGCTGTCGGAGCAAGGTGTATTCTCATAATTTCTCAAACTAACCATGGAACCAATTTCCACTGATCCCTAAGTCATAAAACTTTACAATTACCCTGAGTTCATTAATAATGTATTACAGTTCTCATTCTCAATCAGAGTTTAATCAGACCCATGTCTCACAGGAAGGTTGACAAGTAAGCCACAAAATTATCCATATAAATGTCAAGATTTATTTTCCTAACATAAATGATCTAACCTAGTCAACCATAGTTAATAATAAAATCATTCTTTCTGAGATACCATTCACCGATTGTCATACCATTTTAGCCTCATATCTCTACCCCAATAATGGCAGAGGTTATGGCTATGGTCTCTATAAATTAATTTATATGAGTCACGTTCATTTTATATTAAAATATGAAATTATGAATACATATAATATTGCCTATTACTTCCTTGTATTATGCATGAAATCAAATGGTTCAAATTGTTGCATGCCAATGAAATAAATATTAAGAAAAATACAGAAAGACAGTAATTTTAGTTGCAAATGCCTCTGGCTATTGTCTTTACTGAACTCAAAAGATGTTGATGCTTGAAGTAAAAAGAAAAATCTCAGAGTACTTCAAAATAAATACAAAATTATCTTAAGATGCTCTTTAAAATGGTTATTGCCCTAGAAAATACAGCCTGGCTTCTATGTTGTGTGTGTATACATTTTGGGTATGGTTGTTCATTCATTTGAATAATTAAGGAGATAGATAGATATATATATATATATAAAATGAAGTTTCTGAGTTCTTCAAGCTGTCTTCTTATTGTACTTTTACTGTATACTTATGATTTCCTCCATTTTATGTATTTATTTTTTCAGACCGAGTTATGCCGAGTTACCAGGCTGGATTCAAACTCTGGTGTCCTCCTGCCCTGGCCTCCTGAGTACCTGGGACCACAGGTGTTTACCACCTGCTACAGTGTAGATTAAGAATGACCCCAACTCTCCTGTGGTCACACATGGGCCTTTCGGAAGGTGAGTCGATCCCAGGGGCGCTCTGGAAAATGGGATCCGGTGGAAAAGGCGGTCACCCAGAATGTTCCCTGGAAGTGTGAGCCTCCCGTTCCCCAGGCTCCCTCCTTCTCTCTCTTCTCCTCTGCACAGGCCCTTCTGCCATGCCCTTCTGTGTGGGAGCTTGTCAACCAAACTGCAAATGTGAGCCAAAATAAACCTCTCCTCCTTTAAGTTGTGAGTATTGGGCATTTTGTCCTATCAATGAAAAAGTGCCTACGCCACTACCATATCTGGCTATTTAGTTATTCTTGATGTAAAATTTCTAAGATACTCTCATTTAAAAATACATGATTTTCTCCTATGTATATGTGAATTCTCACATTTTTCGAAAAGTAACACATTAAATAACTAATTACACAAACATTTATCAACTTAAGAATGTACATACAAGAGTGAAATTTATTTGCTTTGAGAGGACTGATAGACGTAAACAGATAAATAGATAAAAGATAAACAAATGCAGATGAGACTTCAGAAATAGCATACTGATAGGAGAAATACTAGACTATCTTCAATACTGCTAATGAGAATGTTTCTCCTGCCAATTTTTATATACCATCTGCCTTAATAAAAAAGTAGCTTTCTTTCCAAGCAGAAAGTAAGGTTCTGATACTACCATGATAGTTGCATTAAACAGCTCAAATGATGGTCGCATACTCACGAGTTTTTTTTCTGGGTGTGTAGACTTTTTCCATAGCTGTTGAACAAATACTCACTATTTCCTAATTCATTCCTTCATCAATGTAAATACAATCATTATGAATAGATCAAAAATCTAAAAACCAAGTGTATTTATTTTTCTTTCAATTGATTGACTCTATCTTGGCTAGATAATACAAAATTGACATTTCCTCTAGCTAAATTGATAGCAGAGAACTCTATAGGTAGTGCTCAATAATACAACTCTATAGGACTGTGTGGAAATTGTGATACATTTGGAATCATTATTAACAAAAGTTTCACTTGATAATATGAATGTATTTTGTTTCCTAGATATAGTAACTTCTATTCAATGATGCAATGAGAACAGATTAAGTACAATAAATATCTGACACCACAAATTTTCTAATAACTAATATTTTGTACTCTTCTAATCATTAATTTACTTTATTTCCTCAAGCTAAGACTATTTTATTTAATCTTACTAATTTTCTTTTCTTCTGTCCACTCAAAATTCTTTACTGAGATACATTCACATGTACTCAAAAAACTATTCATTAACTTCAGCCTTATCTCTACCTACTTACTACTTACTTTTAGAACTTTAAATTTAAATAGTATAAATTTTAAGTAAATATTAATAGTATCAAAATACCTCTGCATATTTGTATAATATGTGCTAGTGTATTTGATATTTCTGCTATCAGTCTGATGCATATGACTTCATAATTAAATGCTTGCTAAATGTATATATTATCCTAAGCCAGCACCTAAAAGGTACTATACTCCCCAAAGGAATAACATTGATATTAACTATAATTTTTTTTTTTTTACAAAATTCTACTTATTTTATTTCTGTTGTTCCTGCTTTTTAGAAAAAGATACCCATCAGTAGAATATCTTTTACTTCGAATCTTGGTTTGTCTTTAGGATTAGTCAAAATCTTACATTTAATCTAGGGTTTGACCACATGACTTTTAAACTCTGTATAGAAGCAAATGAAATGGTTATCCGATTTGATGCCAGTCTTCTCCCTGAGAATAGCTCAAAAGACTCTCTAAGATGGCATGGCAATTCATGTTAACCTCTGAAATAGGTTCTTTCTCACTTCAAAGCAAGCCCCTTGGTCGTGACAATTTTAATTAAACTTATATAAAAGAATATAACTGTTGACATTGAGTTTTGCACACATGTTAGGGAGAAATAAGCAGCAATTATTTGATGAAAGCTGAACTTTGAATCTACTCAAGCTTCCTTCACTTAGATCACCAGGGGAAGTATGTGTTATTTTCCAAACTATTGATGCTAGTGTAGTAAAGCAAATCAGCATGAGCTTTCACTGAGGTCACTTTTTTAATTAAAAAAAAAGTGTTACCTTTTAAATCGAAAATGTCCCACAAAAGACTTATGTGTTCAAAGATGGGATATCCCGAAGTTGACTGGATCATGGGGTTGCTACATTCAAAAGTGGATTAATCCACTAGCAATTTCATAGCTGAAGATGCTGTTAGGAGGTGGGGCCTGTTTGGAGGTGAGTCATTAGGGGTGTGCCTTCAGGGATGTATCCCTCACTCTGAGTCTCACTTGCTCTTTCTGTCACCAAGCACTCATGAGGTGAACACCTGTCCTAGCCACCATCCCCTCTGCCATGATGTTTGTGTTTTGACATCAGAAACCATAAGCCAAAATAAACCCATCTTCCATGGAGCTGCAGGGAAAATAGCAAGTGTTTGACCCAATAATGAAAAGGATGACTAAAATAGCAGGAAACTATTTTGCCAAAACACTTTCTTCAAAGTTGTCTGATCTATTTTCTGATATGCAGTTTTAAATACTAATTCTTCCTTTGCTTAGAATCAGTACACAAAGTTTTTTTCTTATCTTAATTTAGTGTAAATGTCCTATGTCCTTTCTAATTTAAATGTCATTGTTGGGAAATCATAATGTGGATCAACCCACCCTTACAGTCATGTATAATTTAAAGAGAAAATTTTCTGCTTCCAATTGGGTTGCATTTCCATGGGACTGAAATGAAGCAAATTCCTGAGTCAATGGGTATTGTGAAAGTCTAAAAAGAATTCTCCAAGTTAGTGTTTTAGAAGAAAAAAAATATAGCATGCAATGAACTAAAAATAAAGGAGACTGAGTTAAACAAGAAGTCTGCAGTGGCACAGACATAATTTGGGAAGTGTAAAAGCAAGTGTTGCCATGGTTAGGGAAGGTCTGGTTATGGTATCTAACAGTCAGGCTATATTTCTTGGGCATGGTGTACAATCTGCTATTGAATTTTAGGATTCTAAAAACATTGAAATTAAATATTATACAAATAATCAGCAGCTTTTCCATACAATTATGAAATTGCTGAGAAAGAAACCACAAAAAGAATTCCATTTACAGTAACCACAAAACAAAACAAAACAACGAAACCCTATGGTTAACAAAAAAATAAAAGACCTCAACAATTAAAATTGCTAAACAATGATGAAAGACCTATGCTTGTATATTGGAACAATTAATATTGCAAAATGTATCCATACTAACTAAAGTTATTTGAAGATTCAATGTAATTTCCAACAAAATACCAATGACATTCTTTATATAACTAGAAAAATTCATATGAAAGCACAAAAGACTCCAAATAGCCAATGCAAGCTTTAATGACAGGTTTGAGCACAACCTGGGCAACTTACTGACATTGTATCAATATTAAAAAATTGTAAAAGGAAATGGCTGATTTCTTGATAGCAGCCATTCTTTCTGGGGTGAGGTGGAATCTCTGTTGTTTTCATCTGTATCTCTCAAATGACCAGTGATGTTGAACATTTTGTCATATGTTTATTGCTGCTTTTACTTCTTTGTCTGAGAAATGTCTGTTCATTTCAGATGCCCATTTTTGAATTGGGTCTCTGAATTTGAGAAATCAACCAATAACAAATGCTGGTGGGGGTGTGGGGAGAAAGGAACCCTTCTCCATTGTTGGTGGGAGTACAGACTGGTGCAACAACTGTGGAAATCAGTATGAAGATACCTCAAAGAACTAGGACTAGAAGCCCATTTGACCCAGCTATTCCCCTGCTGGGTATCTTCCCAAAAGAATTAAAAGAATGATACCACAATGATATATGTGCATCCATGTTTATAGCGGCACACTTTACAATAGCTAAAGCTTGGAAACACCCAAGTGCCCATCAACTGGAAACTGGATAAAGAAGATGTCGTTTTTTTTTATAAAATGGAGTACTACTCAGCCATAAAGAATGAGAAACTAGAGACATTTATAGCTAAATGGATGCATCTTGAGGCCATACTCTTAAGTGAAAGAAATAGGACACTTGTGTAAATACCAAATAGTTTCTCTAGTGTGAGAAACTGAAAGTGTAAATAAGGATGAAAATGATTAAAATGAATAATTGATAATTTGAAATAGGAAGAAAAGTTCCAAAGGGGTAGGGGAAGTGGGAGGGGAAGGGGAAAGGAAAAATTATGAGAAAAGGAAAAAATGGAAACAAAGTCTTTGTAAATAGGGAAGGGTGGAAGGGGTGAAAGGAGCACAGGTAATGGGGAAAAAATAAGAACCAAGATACATCATGTACATGTACAAACACCCAATGATAAATGTAAACGTATTGTATACCTAAAATGCACCAATAAAAGAATTTAAGCAAAAAAAAAAAATGGCAGGCTGTGGGTGTAGCTCACTGCAAAGGGTTTAATTCTTAGTCTCACACACACACACAAACACATAGCTGAAACCATCATTTTATTGAAAAACATTGTAGAATCCTACAGAACCACAGTAACCAAAATACTTTTGCATTGGTGTGAAAACAGACACACAGACCAACAAAACAAAATATAGATCCTAGAAATAAATTCACCCATCTAAAATGAACTAATTCTTCAAAAAGCCACCAAAAACATACTTCGGAGAAAGGAAAATCTTCTCATTAGTAAATAGTGCTACAAAAAACAGTAAATGTACACAATTGAAACTAGATCCTTGTCTCTCACCCTGTACAAAAATCAACTCAAAATGAATCAAAGGCCTAACTAAAAGATCTAAAAACATGAAATTACTAGAAGAAAACATAGAAAAATATTTCAAGACATTGGTATAAGCAAAAATTTTCTGGACAAGACTTCCAAAATCACAAAAATCAAAAGAAAAATTTGAAAATGGGATATATCAAACTGAAAAACTTTTCCACAGGAAGAGAAACAGTCAGCAAAATGAAAAGAAAATCTATGAGATGAGAGAACATATTTACCAATTAATTACTCATGTGACAAAGCGTGACAGAGTATTTATCTACAATATGTAAGAAACTCAGGAAAACTCACAACAATATGTCATCCAATTAAAAAGTGACCTGAGGCCCAGAGATTTAGCTCAGTGGTGCTGCAGCCTGCCTCTCAAGTGCAAGGTTCCAAGTTTGATCCTAGGTACCAAAAAAACAAAAAAACAAAACAAAACAAAAGGAATCTGAGTAAATGCTTATCAGAAAAAAATACAAATGATCAAAAATATACAGAAAAAGAAACTCAGCTCATTATAATTAGCTGTCAGGGAAATGCAAATCAAAACTACAATGAGATATTATCTCCAGTTAGAATGACAATTATCCAAACAAAGAATAAACAACAACAATAAAAAATCCTGGCTATGATGACATCAAAAGGAACCCTTATAAAATGTTCATAGAAATGTAAATGAGCACAGCCATTATGGAGTAATGGGAGTAACAAAAAGACACCTTCACATCCATGTGTTTTGCAGCACTACTCACAGTAGCTACGATATGGAAA